ATTGATAGAGACTCTGATCGTCGCTCCTCCGAACTGCTCAATCAGTCCGTTATGGATAGACATATCCCAAACGGTTCTGCCCCACCTCGCCCATTCACAACACCCCGGACATCGATAATGGACTACCCAATGCATGATGCCAATGAAAAAGATGAACTGGACCCGGGTAAACCCCTACCACTGGCCGCCAGCCCATCTAGAAAGCGCAAAAAATTGGCTGATGGTGGGACCGAGACCGTTCGTCGTTTGAGGAGAAGCCACGAAGCATGTGCCCGCTGTAGATTAAAGAAAATAAAGGCAAGTATAATAATTCACGAATAATATGCGCGATCCTTTTGGGAATCCCACATCATTCGCGTTGCTCCTTTCTCCCCCCCAAGATGCTAACTCATCCCCCCTTGCTTCAACACTCGTAGTGCGACTCTGGGCACCCTAGCTGTAGTGCATGCGCTGCTGTACATGCCCCCTGTGAACAAGAAGACCGTCATAGAAATAAATTCCAGCCTCGGGCACATCAGGAGATTATAGAACTTCAACTCAAGCAAACCGTCTGTATACTCAAGAAATATCTGCCAGATTATGATCCTGCCCGCGCCCACTACTTCGCTGCGCAATTAGGAGTCTCCATACCGGAGGGAGGTCCGAACATCCCGACTTCTCAACCTCCGCCTGGATTGCCAATGATGCCCTATTCGCCTTCACATTCGGGCTCCGATTCGTTTTCACTCAGAAGTCCGATAGACAATTCCCAAGCCATGTCGCCGTCAACGCCTCCTACACCTTACTTCAGGCCTCCTTACGCATTCCCCACTCCTCCACACGTGGCTCCCGATAAACCAATGATCCATCATCCATCGCGTGAGGAGAACGGCCACGTCAAACGTGATTTAGATGCCGATAACGGCAAAAAAGGACTTGATCCACGAGGCAGGAATATGGCAAATCCAACTGCGATAGCAAGAGGCTTTGGTGTAAACTCACGGCTGTTAGACGGCTATAGCGAACCTGGTGAGATCCATTTTTTGGAAAGGTAGGAGGAGGATGGCAAAGACTGACAACCTCGCCCCTTGTTTAGAACCCATGAAAGTGGAAGGTGATGACCTGCCCCCCGTCTCGAATTCGTCTGCTCTCCACCCGCATCTGTGGCAAAGCCGACCGTTCAGAAGGAATCAAACTTCTGCCCCTTCACCACCTTCGCAGTCAACGTCGGCTCTCGACCCCGTATGGCTTCCCAAGAATCGCGAAATTGCTCTCAACATGATCGAGAAATACTTTAAACGGCTCAACTTCCATCGACCAATATTTGAAAAAGATAACTTCCTCAGAAGATTCGAAGCACTCTACAACACCGACTCGGGGCCGAACGACGATTCAGGATTCCTGTGTAGTACTTATATGATCCTTGCATTAGCGACACTTTCCGAAATGCACCAGCCAGATCTAGACAAGGCGTGGAAAGAGAGACTACAAAAAGAATGGCCTACTCACGAAATACTCTTCTCTCGTGCTCTGGTCGCCAAGTCGGAGCTGCGTGTCACCATCTCAAGTTTGCAAGCTCTTTTGCTACTTCAATGGTACCTTTATTCGGAGGTTAGTTGTACTATTTATTACGTAAACACCCGGCTAACACCCGCGTAGCGCCACAGTCGTTCTTTATGGAGATTGGTCGGAACGCTTGTGCGGCTAGCAGTTGAACTCGGATTACATCACGATCCGATGATGCAGAAAGATACCTTTACTCCCGAAGAATGTACCCTCAGAGTCAACTTGTGGCATAGTGTCATGATCCACGATCGTGGTACCTCCGTATTGCTTGGACGCCCAGTGGCTATTGGCGAGGAGTATTTCAATACTTCCTATCCCATCGAAGTGACTGGGATGGTCTCTCGACACTTTGTGGATAGCGCTCCATTGAACAGTGTGGCTGCCGACATCATTCGTTCCTTGTATCGTCCTGATATCCAATCGACGGAGGAAGTGATCCACCACTCGAGGCGAATTTTGATCAATATGACAAACTGGCGCAAGACCTTGCCCAGTGACTATCATCCGCTTTTCCTGGGCACAGTTCGGTGGAATGAAGAGGATAAGAAAAAGTTCCGCAAGGAGATGACTACTGAAAAGGGCCTCACTTTCCTCAAATACTCGATTCAGCGACTTCTACTCCTTCGAGCCGTCTTTACCAATGACGAGATGACATATGACTTCAAGATCAAGGCGTTAGAGGATGGTAAGCTCGTCTATCACCTGTACTATCACTATTCTAACTAGTCTCTAGCTATTCGAACTTCTCATAATGTGATCATCATGCATGCCATTTTGACAAACATTCCGGATATTGGTTTCTTCGTTTCACCACTACCGTTGCATCTAGCGGCGATCACGATCATCTACGGGCAATCCTGTGGTTTCACAACCCTTTCATATGAAACTGGCTATGAAGATGTGCAGTCAGCGCTTCACATTACTCCAGCTCTTAGATGGACATGGGAACGTAAGGATGCCAGTGGAGGTGTCCATCCGATAACGTTGGAACTGGCGAATCGTGTGTTTAAACGGAAACCCTCGATGTCGGACCGACCAAAGCAGCTTTCGGATTTCTTGCCCGAAGTGGACTGGAATGACGATAAAATTAACTTGGCTCCGATCCCAGAGAACCAACTCAATCATTGGCCTTCTGGGCTGTTCCTTCCTGGACCTGTCTCCCCTGAGCGGCATCAGTTGTCCAACACACGGACCGATGGATCGAATAGCAGCCAGTCGGCGAGTCCGAATGGACAACATGCTATCCCTGCTCAGATGCCGATGGCCGCAAATGGGTCGGCCATTGCTGGACCTTCGATGCCCGGGAACGGTACTTCCTATTTCAAAACCGAGGAGCTCGACTTTAGTAGCCTATTTGCTCAAGTGCCCGGGTATGCGATTAACTTCCAACCCGAACTTGAGCATCCTCAGCTCTTCATGGAGGAAGAGAAGGATAGAGCGGCCCGACCGCATGCTAATTCTAAGAGGGAGTTGAACCAGAAGATGATGGAGCAACTTCAGCATATGGTGAGCGATGAACCGTTTTCAAAGCTGACAGCTTCTAACGCACTCTTTTTAGTACAACAACCCT